ATTGTCGATGCCGTCGTCGGGGTCGTTCTCCGCACGCGCGCTTGACCTACTAATCAAAAAGAAAGTATCCTTAATCCCTGCTTAATAAATAATAATAATATCACCAACCGAAACGACCGAGGTCCGGGCCGTCTTTACGATAAAATAACAGAAAAGAATCACGCGCGCCTTAAATCTGCGCGCCCACGCACTCGCTATTGCGGTCAACCACCCAGTCAAAGCAATTACTTACGTAGCCGCGCTTAGCGCGTTATACTTAGACTCTAGACCAAAACTATTTTCTGTCACTTGCAAAAACCAGGGCGGATACCCTTGTAAGGGTATTCGCACCGACAACGGTATAGCCGCCAGTTGCTTCCACAGCCTCACCAGTTGTTCTTCTTTGGGAATTGGCACTGACGGTTGGGAGAGTTCCCATCTGGGAATTAATCTGCTGAGAGTTTTCTCCCGCTTTCTTCGATGTCGGACGGCCTTCACTGCTTCCAACTTATTGAGGTCTTTTACCACTTGTCCTCCTGATTCCCAGCCCCACATCAAGGGATCTATCCTCGGGCTACCCGTGGGAGTACCTCCCGCTACAATGTTGAACACTGGTTGGGTCTGACTATTGGGCGAATTGCTACTTCGCACTCTGACCTCTTGGAGGCTGTTCTGTCCTCTGCGCTCAATGGTTCATGTCTGTCGGATAATCATCGAGAGTGGCTCCACCCTGCTAAACTCTTCCAAGGAGCACTTACCTTCCCCCTCCTCCCCCCAATTCTACAGTCTGAAGAACTTCCCTTCCTCCTCCCGCTGCGTCCCTCGAAACCATGTGCCCGGGGGGTTTATCCCTTCCGGGCCCAGCAACCTTTTCCAACTAACTGAGATCGCCTGTTTTATCATCTAAGTTCGCTCTGTTTGGGCTGGTAGCCTACCCAATTTGTCTCTCAGCTGCCCAGAAGAATACCACTGGTTTGTAGAGTCATCCCATATGTCGCCCACAGTCGCCACCCCTCTTTTAATCCACTTCTGGCCGAAGGACCCTGGAGAAGCAGCAGCTGAAAGCACGGAGCCGTCGGGGCCCTTTATCAGGTGGTTTTCGAACAAAGGTTGTGCTTTTACTTCATCCTTGGAGGTTGGCTGTTCCCTGAAATTCGGTTTGACTTGTCTCCAAGCCTGCAGCACGTTGCTCCAGAAAGGTGACTTCATGCGCTTGTTGAGAAAGGAGTCTATCATCACCGCCACCCACACACCCGAAGGGCGGCTCAGGCCCCACTCCAGCATCAGTATGTACTCTGCCAACAGGCACCAATCAGGTGGGTCGTGGGCTTCCACCACCTTGACTAACCAGTTCGCCAGCAGGGTTAGATTTTGTGCCCCTGGTTCTGTTATAGCCAGGCCTCCATCCTCTCTTGGAGCGCAGACAATCTCCCAGGCCACTTTCGGAATGTACCCCTGATCCTCTTCTGCTCCTGGCTTCCAGAGAAACCGCCTTGCCACCGCCCTGATCGCCTTCAGCGTTGCCTCTGATAACTTGAGGGTTTGCAGGACAAACTACAACAGGGAGAAGGCTGAGACTGTGATGACCAGTGCCCTGCCCATCAACGATAAATGGGGAGCCCTCCACCAACTCTTAATGCGTGTAGACACCTTTTCCCTAAGGATCAGTTCCTGTCAAGCAGCGGAGTCTCCCAACGCTACCATAACCCCCAGGAACCTTTGTGCCTCCCCCTTGGGCACTCTCTGCATACCCACTGAACCTGCAGCCTATACCCCTCTGGAAGAAAACAACAAATTTATTCCAATTAATAGTTGTTTCTGAGAGATCCCCGTATCGCTGGAGGCAAAACTTCAAGGCCTCCATGGAGTCTGCCGAATTCGAAGAGTCTGAGAGTGGAAAAAGGTCATCCACCAGAGCCTTCACTCGGCATTCCCCTCCATCTGAAAGTTGCAGCCCTCTGATACCATGGTTGGCCCTAATTGCAGATAAGAGAGTTTCCAGCTACAGCATGAACAGCAGTGGGGCCAGCGGGCATCCTCGATGCAATGACCGGGATAGCTGGAACGGCTCAGAGATCACTCCGTTGATCTGAACAGTAGTCGTTGAAAAAGCATACAGCACCTTGACCCAGCGACAAAACATGGATCCAAAGCCCAACACTTTCAAGGTCGTCATGACGATGGTCCAGTTGACCTTATCATAGGCCTTTTCTAGGTCGATCAACAGCGCCGCAGCATCCAAATTATCCTCCTCGATAATCTCTAACGATTCGATGGCCATCAGGATGTTGTCAAAAATCGAACGACCTCGAACGAAGGCTCCTTGGTCTCTGCCCACCAGGCCGGGGAGAATAGGGCCTAGACGGCGAGCTAAGGTTTTTGCCAAGATCAAGTAAACCACGTTTAATAAGGATATTGGCCTCCAATTCCTTACCTCGCTTTTGTCGCCCTTCTTATACATCAAAGAGATTACTCCCCTGGTTATTGTTTTGCCTAGTGTGTCTCCTCAAAATGTCATTGGAGAGCTTAACCAGGTCTGCAACCAACGCATGCCAACAGGTGCTGAAGAACTCCCTTGGTAGGCCGTCATTGCCTGGGGCCTTGCCCTTCGCCATAGACTTCAGCGTCTGTCTGAGTTCTTCTGCTGAGATTGGTCTGTCAAGGAGCAGTCTGTCTTGAGCTCCTACTCTGACCTTCAAAGTATCCCACTCTCTTTTGTCAAATCCGTCTTCCAATCCCAGTAGGTTTTCCTGGTCGCTCGGATATCTTTAAAATAGTCCGCTGCGTGTCACACATCATCTCGTTGGAGGTTGCCACCGGTTCCCCTAACCGGTGGGGATGCTGAAGTTCCCTCATCTGCACCATGCCCTGTCTCGGTAATAGTCTTATGAAGGCTTCCCTTGAAAATCCCCTTCTCTTTCAGGATCTCTTCTCATCTTTCCTGCTTCGCTACCTGCATCTATTCCCATTCCTCTTGCCTTCTATTCTGCTCCTCTGCCCACACCGAGTCCGAGATCAGGTGTAAACCCATCCGTCTTTCTGCATCTTCCACCCTTTTCTGACAAACTTCCTCTTGCTCATTTCTCAGATAGGCCGCTATCGTGGAAAAAACCTCAAATTTCGCCGAAATGATTTGAAGACCTGCGTCCCACCAATCCTGGTATTCCAGAAAGCCGTTCTTCGGCCCCTGCCAGTCCGCCCTGAACACTTCCACCCACCGCCTTCATCCCTCATCTTCCAAGTTCAATGTGTTTAGTTTGAAGTACCCTGGGCCTCTCCTTTCCTGCTTCGAAACTTGCACTTCTAGTCTAACAGGCTTGTGATCAGACATCGATGCATTCGATTCTTCCACCCATTGTGTCCCGTCCGATAAAATTCCTTTCGTGAGGAAGAAGTCTAGATTACGCTTGGCTCCTGCTGTGTTTTGCGTGCTTGCAAACCCGGTAAAACCCGAATCATTCGGGTGTATCTCTCTGTAAATGTCCTGCAGGTCCCATGCTTCCCTCCAGCTCAAAAAGGCTTCTCTATCCTGCCTCATTCCCTCCACTGCCTCTGAATCAAGCCCTGGGATACTCACCAGGTTCCAGTCGCCGCCAACTACCATATGCTCCTCTTGGGGAAAGGAGTATGGAATTGCCTTCATGAAGTGCATTCGATCTCTTGGTTCATTCGGAGCATACACAGTTGCTACCACAAAGCTCACCCCCTCACACTTCAGCTTGATCCACACCCACCTCCCCCATAGGTCCGCGTCATAATCTATCAGCTCCACCTCCAATCTCTTATGGACCAGAATTGTGGTCCCTCCTCTTGAGCCCCTGGCTGGGGACCAAAGCTGCAGTCCATCCCACCAGTCGCTGAGCTGTGTCAGTTTAACCTCTGACAACTTCGTTTCTTGTAGCAGCATAATATCCACTAAGTGCTTATGGATCCAGGACTTTAGTCTTTTCCCCTTCCTCTTACCTCCGAGTCCCCCAACCCCTTCACATTCCACGTAGCGAGTTTAAGCTTGACCATTGGAACCGATGTGAGCGTGAGGATCTTGGATACGCTCGGTTGTCACTCTGCCTTGGTTGGCATTCGCAGTCGCCGGGGAAGTGGACTGCCACTTCTCTGCTAGCACCTCCTGCACAAAATCCGAGTCCAGTTTTTTGTCCAGGGGCATCCTCTCATTCAGGCCCTTCAGAAACTCTGCTGCCACGCCTGTCTTTACCAGGACACTTGACAACTCCGTGGAAGAATCTTCCAACAGCACACAGAGCGGAATGCAAGTCAGTCCTACTGATGGAAGACCAGCCCAATGTTGAGTCGGGATCCTCGCATCAATAAGCGGAATATAGAATTTAATCATCTGGCCTGTCGGAGTGTCGACGGTGATTTTTGGCATGGCTTCCTCCGGAAAGAGCCTGAAGTAGAAGCAATCTGCATACAACTGTCTTACTCTGGCTTCCACTAATTTTGGGCTTGGAATCCCACTGAACATAGTCGCTGGCAGAAACGTCTGTCCATTTCGATGGATGAGGCCTAAGATAAATGCTTCGTTCCCAAGGAGAGTGCAAACGAGCGGCATCAAAATTTCTTCTTCGTGTTGCCGATCATCTCCTGTTCGAGTAGGCACGCCATCTGAAATAATGAACCTACGGATACTCTCCATCCTGTCCTCTCTTTCGGAGGCCGCTGCCGGTTGGTGAGACGACGTGGGTTGAGCCTGCTCCTGTTGCCGCTCTCCCTGCCTATCTTCGGAGACCACTCTCTCTACCTCTCCCCCCCTGGATTGTGTCGATGAAGTCTCTTCACGCGGTACCCCATGACTCAGCAGCCCCAACATCGGAACCTAATTAGAGTAAGGCAAGTATGGATTAGGGGTCTGTATCCCCTGGTAGGTCCCCCCCCCCCAGCTACCATATTGATATCACCCCAGCTGTGCTTGATGCCACGCGGGGGGTTGTTGCAACAGCCCTACGTAATAAACTCCTTGGGGTCCGTATTGGTTCCAGGCTGCCTGTCCTCCTACCACACCTCCTCCCATTGCCATATCGTTCCCTGTACCCGCCCCAATAATTTTCCCTCCCAATCCCTGTCCCCTTTAACCGCCAGCAGTTGAATTCTGCCCCTGATCTCTTATGACGCTTTGGCTGGGTTGCTGTCTGCTTGCATTCCCGCTCACGCCACCCCCTCTGCTCGGTCTCTCTTCTCCATCTTGCACGCTTGCTACATCTCGAGTTGCGTCCCTAATACCCCTCTGGTATACTACCTCCCCTTGATTGAAGTTTTGATTGGACCCTCGACCTCGACTTCGACCAGCCACTGCTCCTTGAAAATCCCTGCCCTCCACCTCCTCATCCGCTCTAGGGCAACCATCCGATTCTGTGCGGAACCACCACCGATATCGGGTACACCAAGGAGTGTTTTTACATACAAATTCCACATTATAGATCTCCCCATCCACCAGCTTCATAGGAAGAGTTGGCTCGAATCGCTCCTCCGCCTCTCTAGGCAGTTCAAATTTCAAGTTCATTAGCTTTGGACGAGAAGCATCTGGTTTTGGCGGATGCTGGAGAATGATGTTGCCCATCACCTGCTGCACAAGATCCGGAACGTGGAACATCACTCTAAGTGGTACTCTGAGGGTTGTGACCCAAAATTTAGTTTCGTCCTCCTGTCTTCTCCTTTCCTCCAATTCTGCTCTCATCATCCATGGTTTGAACAACAGTTTGTATTCATTTCGCCTAATCACCACCACATCCTCCGCCTTCGCCACTAACCATTGAGCAATCTCCCTTGACTTCGCGACATAGGACATTACGTTTGGACCCTCCCCATGCACCCTCCCTCTTTTGAAGCCACGAGCAAATGTCCTCTGGCGAGACCACCCATTCTCGTACACCCGAATTAAATCTTCACGCAGCCTGGCCGGAAGATTGTGCGCGACACCTTGGAGAATTACCGTAACGGTGCGTTCCTTGAGCCATGCTGTCGTGAGGCGATCAAGCTGAGGGTTGACTTTGAAGACCCGAATTTCGTTGTCAATAACAAACTCCCCGTGTTTAAGTCTTTCCGGAAAGACGCCGTCGTCATAACACTTGGCAATCAGCAGTCTGATTCGGTCTTCCTCGGACATCTGGACCTCTGCTCCCGGTGGGTTCCTCTCATTTCCCTGCTCCCCTTCCCCTGGAACGACCATTCTCTCCCCTTGCTCAGCCATAACGAACTATCCTATCCTCCCGTACCACGTCAACAGCGGGCGCCGTCCGGCGCACACCCACTTCGAAAGACCACGAGCACACCCCTACACCTGATTTACTTTGACACGTGATGATAGGTTAACCAACCAGGAGCCGGTCCGCACGCCGTTAGGTCTCCCTCCCCTTCGGGTTAGTTGCTCGGAAAGTACCGAGCAAGACGACCGTGGTAACCGCGATGGCATCATGGTGGTGCCGAATCGCGATGGACAGGTCCGGTGTTTCCGCCGGTAGCACTGAGTTGGAGCGCTCAAGCGCCGTCCGCCTCGCCCTCAGCCAATGGGTGTTTTTTTTAAATATAAAATGCAAACTTCTCAAAATAAAATAAAATAAAAATTTTGTATGGAGCAACTGCTAGTGGAGTCTGGGCCGACCAATTGCGGTCGTGTAGTGCTGTACGCGGGCTAGGTCCCATTGACTTACCGTGAGGGCACGGGTGCGCAGCCTGTAGTTCGTTTGTTTATGTGGTTCGGGAAGGGTAAAGTAGTGATTATGTTGCCCTGTTGGTGCTTTATTCACTATGTTCATGGGACGCTGGACCCTGTTTCTAGCAGGTGGCACTTCACATCAATAGACACGAGAATGTATGTGTGTGTGTGTGTGTGTGTGTGTGTGTGTGTGAGAGAGAGAGAGTGTGTGCGCGCGCGTGTGTGTGTGTGTGTGTGTGTGTGTGTGNGTGTGCGCGCGCGTGTGTGTGTGTGTGTGTGTGTGTGTGTGAGAGAGAGAGAGAGAGCGTGTGTGTGCGTGTGTGTGTGTGTGTGTGTGTGTGTGAGAGAGAGAGAGAGAGAGAGACGGACCTGCAGCGTGCAGCATGTCAGTGGCGGGGCGCAGACCTCCAACAAAAAGAAGAAGTAATTTTATCAGAATACAAGAGTTTTTTCTTTCCGAAATCGGAATAAAAAGTGTAGAGTTTGTATTCGAACTCGAATACAACGTGTACGTGTTCTATTTAAGGAATCCGAGAATTCGAGAAAAGTGCACCCGCACCGTTTCAATTTCGAAAAAGGATTGCGGCCTCCTACGCGCAGCTACCGGTCCTACGCAGTCCTCGCCCTTGCAATGCCCCAAAACCTCAAAATGCCCACCCTCCGGCGACCACCAATGTTGAAATTTGATTGACGTTGAACGTTGAAATGTCTTAGGGGGGGAAAACGCAACCCTGACGGGCTGCGAACTTGCACAGATTAAAAAATATTGATTTAGCGTGAGGGCACGGGTGCGCAGCCCGTAGTTCTTTTGTTTATGTGGTTCGGGAAGGGTAAGGTAGTGATTATGCTATATATATGTTTTGTCATGTTCGCTATATATAAATCGAAGAGCGTGCGTGTACAGTCCTGGTTGGTGCTTTATTTTTTTATGTTCATGGGACGTTGGACCCAGTTTCCAACAGGTGGCGCTCCCCATCAATAGACAGGAGAATGTATGTATGTGTGTATGTGTGTGTGTGTGTGTGTGTGTGTGTGTGTGTGTGTGTGTGTGAGAGAGAGAGAGTTGGCAGTTGGCAGACTGCGGCAAAACAGTCCCTGCAGCAGAGTGACATGAACACAGGAATGCAAAACGATAGTAATTTAAAAAAAGCCCAAATGCACTCTGCAAACAGTCACTCATAACCACCATAGCCAAGCAAAGTGGCATCCCTCAACTGGTTTCGCTCCGCCCACCAACGGAGTCTCATCAGGAGGGTGAACTTCTACGAGTTCGCATGCTCGAAGAGAAGACCTAAGTCGTGTCTTCCTAGTTAAATAAGCGTGCTATGTCCTTTCGCAGTCACAACATCTGGTGTACAACAAGAAGTCCGAGGGCATAGTCGTTAGGCCAAGCGAAAAGTCATCAAGACCCCAAATTAGTCAATTGTAAATCCGCTATGGACTGTTCGCGAGAGGGCCGGGTCCAAGAGGCACTGCGCTCTACCCGACTACGAGAAAAACACCCTGCACCTAACCTGAATTCTAGAACACATTCAAAATCTATATCTATAGATCCAAGTGGGTCCCTAGTCCATCAATAGACAGAAGAATGTATGTGTGTGTGTGTGTATGTGTGTGTGTGTGTGTGTGTGTGTGTGTGTGTGTGTGTGTGTGTGTGTGTGAGAGAGAGAGAGAGAGAGAGAGTTGGCAGTTGGCAGACTGCGGCAAAACAGTCCCTGCAGCAGAGTGACATGAAC